CCCCCCCCCTCCCCCCATCTTCCCCCTTCTAAATCGTCCAACTCTAACCTACCCACTCTTCTACCTTTGATATCCTCCCTTTCTTTCCTACAAACTCGGTCTGTTTATCCACTGCAATTTACATTTACCTTAAGATGAAAAATCCACCAAACAAACATAGCACAAAAATGTATCATCTTTTTAGCGACAATGGTGATATCCTTTTACTCCTCATTCGTAAAAACAAAACAAATGTCTTTTATTAACTTCACAATTAATTCCTCTTACGGTATTCATGTGCGCGCAAGATATTTTCAAGTTGATCGGTAAGGAGTAAACAACTAAAATAAACATTATGAAATGGAGTATTTCATCGTTTAGTGCTTCTAGTAATCTTTCAAACGGATATCAGTAGAACCTTGAAAATCACAGCAGATAACCGTTTCCCAGAGAATATCAACTGATATTTTCTTGCTGTTTCTTGTGGTTCAATTTCAATCAATGTTTCAACGTCCCCATGGGTACACTTTACCATGTACAACGTTACCAGGATGACGGTTTCCATGAATATTTGGCCAAACATTATCATTGCCAAAATCCCCAGCAGGACTACCACCACCACACAAACCGCAGCTCTTAGGGCAGTTCTCTGAAGGATAAAGATTGTTTGGGGCGATTATCAATCGAGATAAATTTGTTTTAGCTCTACCACCCTTGCATTTTAAACCACATTCTGAGGCAAAATTTAAGGTTTCTTTTCTATTTCCACATTTAAAAAGATAACCCGAGCATACTTTGAGTTCTGGGAATTCTTCTCCATTGATCGTACCACCTAAAGGTCAAAGCTGAAACTCTAGCTCACGAGCGGTAGAAAAAGGCTCGATAGCCACTGAAGGAAAAACGTAGACGCTATGCAGCGAGTGAAGTTAGCCGCGCAGTCGTAGTTACAAGACTCTAGCTGCTATATTTGCTGTAAAGCCTGCCGCTCTAAGATCAGCCTGTTCGGTCTTAGCTGGCTCTACAAGTCAACCGCAGACCGACTAACCGCAGAAGTTCGAGAGGCGGCAAGAGAGTCAACCAGAGATAGTAAGCTTTAATCTTAACTGATTGAGAAAATTTTTAATAACTGTCGGTTTATGCCCCCCTATTCAAGTAATAATTTCCTGTCGTGGATCCTCTTCTATGATCATGGTCCACAAATTTACTCGCCTTTTCTTTTTTTATCTAAATACCTACGTTTTACTCGGCGATGGCGACATCCTCTCAAACGAACAAAAGAGTAGCATCTGGGAAATGCATCCTTGCAATCTCCTGTGGCTGGACACTGACGACAGCTCCTCTGGCACATCTCTGGATAAGAGTGTATTTAGAATTACCTTAGAGCGCTTTTGATTGAGTGTCAAAAACGCAGAACTAAATTACATTTAATTGCGACGGTTGATGAGAAGGAAGATACCTTTAAGAGCTAATGAGAAATGAGAGTTAAAACGACTAAACTGCCTTGGTTCTATTTTTGCATCTGATTGATTAAGAGAGTGGCGTAAGAACTAATCACAAAGCGAAGTAAAGCAAAACCGATACAATCTCGGGTCACTTTCGACATATAAATATTGCTCTAGTAACGGGGTTGGTGGGCGTCAAATTACACTGGAGTAAACCGCCCTCATTTACTGACTGAGCTCTTGGAAAATTCTGGCCCATTAGGCTAATATTAGGCTGATTTTAGGCTAACATGCAGCTTACAGCCTACATAAGGTCGATAATCGTCAGGAGATGCGTATTATAAGGGAATCTCTGTGACATTACACGTATGAGCGGACAGATCACGTGAAGGTGAGTTGAGAGATGTCTTTGGCAGAGCGGCCCAAGATAGATACAGATAAAGAATCATTTCACGGCATATCCTGGGGTGAGGAATCACGAGATTCCAGCTCCCTGGAGACACCAGTAGATCATGGATTGCTTAAATCAAGCAAGAGTTGATTGAGCGTGGCAGAAAAATACCTACACTAACCTTTTAGTGTTGCTATTCGGCCTCCTGATGGGAAAATGAACCTGCATTTCCTTTTGTTTTCTCTCGCTTGTGACCACCAAGGACAAACATAAGGATCGCTATCTTGACATGGATCCACTAGAGAGAAAAAGGGAAAAACTGATTACCTTTTTCAGAACAACCTCTCATTTTAACGTTACGCCCTACAACGAGCAAATTTTCTAAATGAAAACAAGAGCGCTATAGCCAGTAACGCGAGAAAAAGAAAAAATATAAGTTCTTCTGGATGAAAAATTAAATAGTTAGCGTCATTATCCTAAACTTGGAAGGCTTAGAAAATAAATGAGTCTCTAGTTAGGCTGATAATTTTGTATCAGAACTCTGTTCATTGTCTTTAGAAGATTTTTGTGAGTTTTTATTTTATCATCTCCTGTAAGGCCGCTCCGACTTTAGAAACCATAAACAAATTGTGCAACCGGAAGGTAGTATAAAGTATTTCTTCTCAGAAAGTACCGCTGGCTGTTACTTCTAATTGTCCAGCCAGCACAAAAAATGCAGACTTTTGAAAGTAAGACAGCCATACAAATCCAAACATTTTGTATCAGTTAAACGCAATTTGCTCACCATGACATCGTCGACAGCTCTTAGGGCAGATGTCCCACAGAGGAAACCTCTTACCCACGTAAAACGTATCCGACGGTTGAGCTGTTTTCCAACAGTCTCCTGAGGCAGCCCTAATTGGACAATTTTCCTCCTTATCCTCGCACAGTTCTTTAAAAGTAGGCGATGAAAAAAGTAAAAAAAAAAACCACACACACACACACAAAGTAGTTAGTATTAAGAAAACAGAGAAAGAGACTGACTTTAAGTAACTTTCAAACGATAAACCAATGGTACATACTTTGTCCTGGACAGAGCTTGTCATTGCAGTGTTTCTTTTGTTTCCTCAAATTAAGACTGTTTTCCGGACAAGTCCTTGTGCGAACTTGGAATCCGCCACCACAAGTCTTACTACAGGCTCCGTAGGATCCCCATTCACCGCAATCACCTATGATGAACTAAGTCTATAAGCTACCAGGACTAGAGCTCTTAAAACTATAAGGAGTTGTCGTGGAGATCTAAGAAATCACACCACTGATGAGCAGTTTTGAAGGGTCTGTCCGACGAGTTGTGAGCAGTACTGATATGAACAAATCAAGTTTATCACTTTGTGTTCTTGCCAAGTTTTGAGGCAGAAGAGAAACTAGGCGGTTGAAGATCATCACACTATGTCCTGATCCATGGCAGAACATTTACAGCCAATTCGAGTTTGACGATTGCTACGTGTAGGATTGGAAGTTTAAGGAAAGATCACCTTAATAGACTAGGACCTTCAAACCCCTCAACCCCCTGAGCCCCGCATTATCTTGTTTTTTTTTTTTGTTAAAACGCATTAATTACACCTTTTTCTATGTTTTCTTTTCTCAAAGTCAGCGTCTGCCAAACTTACCAATATCTTGCTCGTCGCAAGCCAGATTTATCACATTCTCTAGTTTGGAGAACATCTCGTTGACTCCAAAAACTTTTAGAACATAGCTAGAATTGCTGGCGATTTTTCCAAGTTCGTGCTCACGGAATCCATATCCAGCTCCAACGGCAATCCTTCTCACTTTGGCCTCCTGCGTTATACAGATATACATTTTACAAACGACAGTGATGACTTTTACAACCAAGTTTGCTTATTACAAATAGAATTGCATATTGCTTTTGCTTTGCTGCGTTCTGTGACTGCTCTTGAAAACTTGCATGATTTTCCCAACCGATCACATGCAAAACTAAAGCCAATGGAGACCTGGTCACCCGTGCTTCCCCTTGCTTGACTTTTTATCGAATTGCACAAGCGCAATTTAACACAACCAAGATAACAATTAGAACATGACATTTACTCACATCTAAAGGAGGAACTACCCGAGCGAGAGGCTTGTTTCCTTCGTATGTAGTTCCATGTGTAAGCACAATCAATACATTTGGTTTATCTGGTCTGTCGCCACTATCTTCCCAGCCAAAAAGATCTTGCGCTGCTAGTTCCAGGGCTCTATCTGTTCTTGAACCTCCTCGACTGTGCGGCAGGCTGTTAGCTTTAGACTTCACCGCAGAAATTGTTTGGTTATCACTAAATCTGGAAATATGAGAGAACCCTTTCACTCGCAACACGTATCTTTACTCCAGGAGTAAGATAGCCACAAACTATAGAGTAAATATCTTTGAGAAAGAGCCTCCACAGACCTGTGCCAGGTGTGTGCCTCCCAGCTGTAAGGGAGGATCGCCATATGCGTTCCTGCTCCAGAGATCTGAAGTCTATCAGCCAGTCGAATTAAATATTGCCGCACTAAATCGTAACCTGCAGGACTTATTCTATCCGAGGAGTCAATTATGACGGCGACATCGAGATGTTCTTTACAAGGTTTCGGCGGAGAAGTTGCAGGAGCTATGAGATTTATAAGCAAAAGATCGAGAACAAGATTATAAGTTGCAAGATTAGTGCATAGAGTGGTGAATTGTTGTCATTTGATTTAACGATATGAGTTTTGGTGTGATGACATAGAAAGTGATGTGATGTTGTATAACGTGGCGTGTTGTTATGTTGGTTAGATGTGATCTGATTTGTTTGACGTAACGTGAATCGACGCGATGTGATACTTACACCTTATTCGATAGTTTAACATATAATACGTGCGGATATTTTGCGACATGCGCAGTATTATTACGAGCCCCGTACGGGTTAGGAATAGTATGAGCAATGGACAGAATTTCCGCTCGTTTACATGGGTGTCATTAATGAACCTTTAAAAAAAAGTTTTGTGACACAATTTGTAGTTCATGTCTGGTATAATGGTAAAGTACTTACACTGGACATCAAGATTAGCGCTAGCATTTACAGAAGGCTTCACTCCATTCTCTGCCGAACACCAGTATTTTCCAGATTGAGTTCTGTTTGTTCTAAAACTCAGTGTGTCTCCTTCAGCCACGGTTTTCCCATCTTTAGTCCACGTCATCTTTGGAGTTGGGTTCCCAGTGGCAGCGCACTGGAAGGTTAGCATGTCTCCTTCAGCAACAATCTTGTCCGGTGGCTTGAGGATTATACTCGGGGGGTCTAAAAATGTGAAAATAGAAATCTAAAACAATACTTCTTTGCAATCTTTTCTAATCGTTATGACCTTGTCCAGCGTTGTTTGGTTTTGAAGTTATACTTGATTCCTTGATTTTTGTTAATTAAAGAAGGGATAATGAAAAAAATAATCAAGGA